GATCAATATATCCAAGAATGCTAGTTGGTTGTTTGACTCCTGTTCCATGGTGAACTTGATGTCATCGAAGACGTTGTTGATCAGGTTGTAAGTGTTTTCTAGTTCATTCTTTTTGACGATGACGAAGGTGTCGTCTACATAGCGAATCCAAATTTTTGGTTTGATCACTGGTAATATAGCGGCTTCTAGTCTTTGCATCACTGCCTCTGCGATCAATCCTGATATTGGTGATCCCATTGGTGTCCCTTTCGTTTGTTCGTAGATTTTGTTGTTGAATTGAAAGTATGTTGTTAGGCATAAATTGATGAGTTCCTGTAGACTTTGAATTTGAAGCTTCGTGTATTTAGTGAGGTTTGTGTCGTTGTTGAGCAGCAGGGATATAGTTTCTTTTGCTAATTTTGGTTCAATTGAGGTGAATAGTGCTGTCACGTCGAAGGATATCATCAGTTCGTCGTTGTTGATTTGGATGTCCTTAATTTGGTCCAGGAATTGTGTAGGGGATTTGATTGAGTGGTTGGCTGAATCTACTAAATGTCTCAGTATTCTTGAAATTTCTTTTGACAAATTGTACGTTGGTGTTCCGGGGAGTGCTACAATTGGACGTAGTGGGATGTTTGGTTTGTGTATTTTGGGTCTGCCGTAGAATCGAGGAGTACTGGTCCGTTGGATTTCATTCTCCATTGTTCTTGTTTTGTTATTTCTCCTGCTTTGACTAGCTTGTTTAAGGTCTTTGAGATTTGGTTGTCTAATTTTTTGACGGGATTTGTATCCATCAGTTTGTATGTGCTCTTATCTTCCAGTAGTTCTTCGGCTTTTTTGACGTATTCTTCTTTGTCCATGATTACTGTGGTGCGTCCTTTGTCCGCTGGTATTATGACATATCCTTTCTATTTTTGAGTTCTTTTAAGGCCTTTTGTTCTTGTGGAGTCAGTTGGTTGTTTTCCTTCGCCTGTTGAGTTAGCGGTACTATAGTTTGCCTTATTTCTTGTTGTGTTTCTTCACTGATTCCGGAAGTTTTGAGTGATGACTCCAGTGCTGCGAAGAATTCCAGCTTTGAGGCGTCGCTTGTATTGTAGTTTAATCCTTTTTGGAGTAGGTGTTCTTCCGTATTTGTTAGTGGTTGTTTTGACAAATTGATCACGCAGTTGTTTGTGTTTTCTTCCATGGGTGGTTTTGAGATCTTGATCAGTTTTTTCTTTAAGGCGTTTCTTCTTTGTTCTCTGTGTCGTTTGCATGATATCTCGATGGCTGTTGTCAAGATTTCCAAGTGTTCTGACGTAAGTGTCCTTTGTAGCTTCATCTTTTGGTCCTCTATGACGTGTTGGTATTTGCGGATTCTGTAGTGTGCATCCGTTATCATTAGGTGTACCATTTTTCTTCCACTTTGCTCAGCTATTTTCCATCCTAATGGGCAGTTGATTGGAGGTCTATATCTTACACTTGTTGGTAGAACATGCTGGCGAAGACACTCATGGAGAAAATATAGTTGTTCTCGAGTGGAAGCCTGCCTTTTGGCGAAATTCTCCCATTTTCGAACAACGAGAAGCGTATTACGCTCATATGATTTTGAGATGGTGGAGAAGATTTGTAGCTCAGGTGGATGATTTTGGTGGAGTTTTGTTCTCTGAGCTGGATGGTTTGGTCGTGGAGCTTTCATCGTTCTTCTGAACGACATCATCAGCACAAACTTCAGATAGAAGTGAAGTGTTTGAATTTCTCCATATGTGTCTCAAAGCTTGTTCTGTGCACCTCGACGTTGATTGGTTCTTATTGACCTTAAATTTGTCGTTGTTTACTTCTTTGTTTTGGTTGTGTCTCCCATTGTTTTGATTTTTGTTCTTATGTTTGTGCATGATTTTTCTGATTGGTTGGTAAATTGGATTGATTTCAATATGCTTGTTGATTGCTGATTGACCTGAGTGCCAGGCCTCTAAAAATCACTACAATCAATCTTATGCAAACCAAAAGATGAAATAACAAAGGAAAACAAATCAAACATCATCTACAAGATAAATTGTGCCAACTTGCGAAAAACACTATATCGGACAAAGTGGACGCCCCCTTCACCTTCGCCTACATGAACATCAATTAGCAGTCAAACGGCATGATATCTCTTCATTTATCTCAATACACGTGGACAACTGCGGACACTCATTCGACTGGAAAAATGTGGAAATCTTAGACAGAGGAAACTCCAAAAACACCAGAGAATTTTTAGAAGCCTGGCACTCAGGTCAATCAGCAATCAACAAGCATATTGAAATCAATCCAATTTACCAACCAATCAGAAAAATCATGCACAAACATAAGAACAAAAATCAAAACAATGGGAGACACAACCAAAACAAAGAAGTAAACGACAAATTTAAGGTCAATAAGAACCAATCAACGTCGAGGTGCACAGAACAAGCTTTGAGACACATATGGAGAAATTCAAACACTTCACTTGTATCTGAAGTTTGTGCTGATGATGTCGTTCAGAAGAACGATGAAAGCTCCACGACCAAACCATCCAGCTCAGAGAACAAAACTCCACCAAAATCATCCACCTGAGCTACAAATCTTCTCCACCATCTCAGTAGTAATATTTATTGAGTTCAGTGTTTATTATATTCTTGTATATGTATTTGATGATACAATGAATTATATATATGTTAGGATAGTCGGAAAAATATACCAATAATTATCGTGTTAAGTCTATGGTGGCCTTGGACCTTAAATGTACATTTGCCATTGGTCGATGTTTATTTCACTTGTTAAATATTTTGTAAATGTTGTTTCCTATTTTATGGTACGAAGTGGTTTGTTTGTTTGGTATATAAATATAGTATGTCTGAAATACAATGATTCATAACTCAGAGGCTGTGACTTGTGTTCTTGACTCAACCGGCTAGGACAGACAGCGAAGCAAGGCCAATCAGGGCGCTAGGTCGTCCTTACGTGTTTACGTGTCACTGTCACAGAAGCGATCGATAAATGCGCTGCTTATCATAACCTGCAGTCTCACACGTTACAATAATATATATGTCCAAGTTCAGTTCTTATTCTTTACTTATCTACTTAAATACCTCTATTAGCATCTGTGGTTCAAAGGGCCCCGGTAAAAGTTCTCCATCCAACTCTGTCCTGGAAAATCCTTTCCACTTGTTCTCATTTATAATTCATCCTTTTATGTCTGCTTGCAATTATCGACACAACTTATTCTTTGGTCTTCCTCTTCTCTGTTTCCCTTCAAGATTTCAAGTTGACGCTCGTCTCGTGATGTAGTTTGATGGGTTCCGTAATGTATTTCCTATCCACTTTCAGCATACTTGTTGACTGGAATTGCAATTTTATGTAATGTTCGCAATTCACTTTCATGAGATTGCACTTGAGTAATCGATTGTTTGTTATGTTTCAAGTTAATGATAAGGGTGAATTGTTGTTAGATAAACGACGCAATGCTTTGTGAAAAATCTCTCCTTAAATAGAGACTGGAAACGAGATTGAGAAAATGTATACTATTTGCTACTTCCTAAACACTTTTTGATAGATACATCCATTGAGATTTTAGTAAATACACAGACCTACTCACTGATGAGACTAGTTTTCATTTACGCTAATGATTGATAAATTATTCTGTGAACAAGCAAGTGTTGAATAACTCCATTTCCTGTTGAAGACTATGAATGTGCTTTGAATGTTAGAATAAGAAATTTTTCTTCATTTTTGAGAATTTCTATCAATTTATTTACAGTTATGTTTTTTTTCGAATATGTAATGTAGTAGTTGACGACGTATATGTTGCTTTTTGTGTTCTGTTATACTATGATTATCTGTTACTGCCTCATTTTGTGTTTGTGAAATAATTTTATTATAAATTTCTATTTCATCTTCTCTTCACACACAATTTAATTTTTATACTTTACATAAGTTGACTTTTGTTTTGTAACATTCTTCTGATTTCGTATTTTATATCAGTTGACTAATGGTATTTTAGTATATGGAAATGTTTACTTAAGGAATAACAAATATATCGTTGCTCTTTTTCCCTAGATTCACATTTGATATACCATAGTCTTTGTGTAGATCATCATAGAAACATTTTTTTATTTGGTCCGATAAAACAAATTGAGTATTCTGTATCAATTTTCTATGGTTCTAAAGCTAATCTTGCTAATATAAATGTGTTTCTTGTTGTCCGATCTAGATTTCTGTAATTTTTAGTTTTTATTCTGTTGATAATCTGCATTGTTTATTATTTCTAATACTATGAGAAAGTTTGCTTTGAATTTTTGAACAGATTTGTTTACTTCAATTTTTAATTTAATTTTACTGCTGATGTTTTGTAAACTAATCTTTTTAACGTTGTATGGTTTAGTTAATATTCTGTGTTGTTTTTAGATTGTTTTGTATTGTATTTGATTGTCTTATTGAATAAGCTAATGTCTATGTATAATCGATTTTGGATGATTGTATTACAGGGGATTGTTTACCATCGACCGTTTATGATAAAATGTGGTGAAGAGATTTGACATGCATGGATATAAAAAGCATAGCTGTTATTTTGATTTATTTTTCAAAGATTGTTTATCCAATGTTTTAGTATATCAGGTATATGTCTAGTTACAGAAATCTGACTGCTCGTTCCGTTTAATTAGAAACTCTAGTTGAATGTGTCATGTTGGGGCTTGAACTCGGTACTTATCGACTTAGACGCTCAACTTGTTATCTAGTCAGTTACTTTATACAGATAGCTACTAGGTTTTAAATGAGTATGAAATTTTTAATATGGAGTGGGTTTCCGATTCCCTGTTTCTGTTATTCTGAACTGGAGTCCATCAATTTGTATGCATTTTGAGAAAATAGGGACTTGCCGATTATACTAAACAAAGGTTTATGGTTATAATCTTCGAAGGAATCTATAGGAACAAAGACGTAATCATTTGCTGTTCCGAATATTAGAAACGGGAAATTATAACCCTTTGCTAGTGATTTTACAATGTTTTCACTAAAATAGAAAGAAATACAATAGTTTTCTTTAAATAATGAAGAAGTAAACTGATTTTATGCATAACATGAATAACATTTATTATTAATTACAGAACTTTTTTGATTATAGTTAGGATTATTTACCGGCTAATGGAATTGATGTGTTAGTCGAGTTTCCATAATTAGTAGTAAGGTTTTTGTCCGATGACCTGTATCCATCTTTGAAAACAGGTGATTCTGGATATTCCGGCTTTTCATTCCTGTTGGCATTATAATCTTTATTATTAATATAATTCTTTTTTATATAACTATCTCTTTTTACAGATTGTGTCAAGTAATTTTTATTCCGTGTCATTTTAAGACCACCGTTTACATCAAAAATATTAAAAAACATATTTTCACGATAACCATTTGATCGTCCACGTGTTTGAAATCGTGAATAATAATTTCTTCGACCATATCTATCTGTTCCAGTATGTAATGTGAAGTATGTACTTTCTGAATAACTGCCACCTTTTGCACTATTTCCACGAGATTTTATATGATTATTCCGATATGCATAATTATGATCTCTAGGACGAATAGATTTTTTATTTCTTTCATGATTTTCATCGTTATTATTCCTTTTTTCTTTGTTATATGAATATTGTTTTGATTTACTATCGACATTCTTAGATTGATAGTTTCTTTTATGATTGTGATGATATGAATGTTTATTCTGATTATCATTATCATAATCATTATCAGATTTAATAAATGTTATAAATAATGATAATATAATGGATATAAGTAGTAAATATATGTATTTCATAATTTTAAATTAATCATAAACACGTTTTACATAAATTCTATGCGTTTTTTATATATAATAATATCTTATATACATATTGTGCCTTTTACTACTATTATATATTCAATCATATAATTAACTTAATGTTCCTTAATCAATAATATTGTTCGAATACATTTTCTAGTATAATTAAAGTTCATTAAATAACGCACATATAAGGTTTTACTAATTATAAAGAAATATATGTTATTACCATTATTATTATTATTATTATTATTATTATTAATATTTGATATATCTAATTTAAAGCCACTGTGAAATATTTTGATTTCAAGTTTTCTTTTTTATAGAATAGATAGAATGTAGCTAACAATGAAGTCCAAGACATTTTTTCTTTCCATTTAGGATTTGTCATTTCGATATGCTTATATCCTTGAGTTAATGTTCACCCAAACTGTAATCCATTTAGTGTATTCAAATAATAAATCACTTATTCATTAGGTATGAATTTTAATTCAATTTGTAATAGTTTTTGAATTGTTACGTTGTTATTATTTTTGACTAAATTTTGGTCAATTTTAGTTGACATTGAATTGAAAATTATACCCGTTCCATATTGAAGTGGCTATGGGGAGTCAGTAACTAAGTTGATAATACAGTTGAGAGAAAGGTTTTGGGTTTGAGTTCAGTGATGACACATCAACACTGGAATGGAAATACATCGATCTGACAAAAAACGTGTCGCACGTTTCACCTCTAGCCACAAATATGTTTGTTATATATTTTTGACTACTGCTTGAAGAAGTAGTGGTTCACATGAAGTAGTATATGTTTTGCAGGAATATCAAGGTTTTATCTATTTGACAGATACATGTTTTATATATATATATATATAATATATATATATATATATAAAATATATATATATTATTTATTATATATATATATATATATTCATTAAAGTGGAAATCCAAGTATCTGCACTTCCCGGTAGTATAGATAAAATTATTTGATGAAACATATCAGCTAATTGGTATGATGTACATGCGTTTATTTTTATAAATGAACTCGGTTCTGGAAGAAGTTTAATTTTTCCAACACGGTGAATCCTTTATTGATAGAGATTGATTGTGACAAATGCACAGTAATTTCGATAGGAAAATGAATTGTTTAGCAACAGATAAATTGACGCTTCCTTACCTACATGGTGAAGTGAGACACTTTTGAAGAAAATAGAATTCTACAACTGGAAAATAAATATAACGGAAAAATCGATGGAACGAATTGAAATAAACTTTAGTTTGTTAAGTGAACTCATGTAGCTGACTGTCAGTAATTAACTTGTATCCTTTAACTGATTATCTTTCTCTACTCTTGGTTACAGTACTGTCAATCTATATTTCCTAAACAATAGTGCATGTCTGAGAGACGCTGTTCTTACAAAGAAAGCAAATGAAAATGTGAGAAATCTATGTGATGACAGATATTAAAATACCTATAAATGTCATCATTAAGACACTGTTTTCAAATAGTCTCATAAGGTTGAAGGATTCCGTTGAAAATTTGTAGAATTTTCAACTACCCAGACAACGAAAATTACTATCTGAAGACTGTATTTATTTCACTCAAATAACTATACATTGTCTAACATTACCTGTTAAGCAACTAGATAAGGTCCGAATAAGAATAATATATTTCGGAAATTTTTTCGAGTTTGTATGGTATTTGCAGCAGTTCGATACTATATATTTGAAACACAGGAAGCCTACACTGTGATGGAAGGGTATACCGCAAAACAATTATGTATTATTTTAATCCTTTTAATTAATTTGTACTCATTTACATGATAAGTTAGGAATTTTTATCCATGGATACTTTTCATATGTGTGTGTGACTGTTCGTATGTTTGTTTATCTTATCCCAAAAACTATTTCGACTACATAAGCTCGCTCAACGATTAAGATAGCAATTGATGGTCTCACCAATTTACACATATCATATAAAGTAATTCACACTTCCTAATGTAAAACACGACAATAGGCAGGAAGAAAGTATGCTTATTGCGAGAAGTTACTAGTATACATAGACTTTAATTGTTTAATTTGCCTCTTTCAGTGTGTTCTGCAGCCTTTTCAACTGGCTTCTAAGTATTCTGCCAACGCTCTGCTTTAGATGTCTTGAGACTTTTCACTCCGTCTGACAATTGTTGCGGCTTCGGTGTCACATTCCGCTACACATTACTCACAAACGATCTTATGGATAGTATATACTACACTATAACCTCTGTGTATTTTACGTTCGGTCTACTTAGCATCTGAAATACATTTATTACAAAGGCCTTTTACGTCACAATTTTAATATTATTCTGTCACCTGAATTTAAGAACGTAACAGGAACGGTCTAGGAAATATACGAAATTAACTAAGATCTGGGGTAACTTGGGCCAATTACACGCTGAAATATCTGAAATAAATCTGTCACTTATTTTGTTAAAAGGGATCTGATGTGATTTGACTTAAAACTGAAAGATTACTATCATATTTATACCCTATGCGTTGATGGGAATGTTATATTGCTTGGTGGTGAATTGAAAATTGATGTGTCTTAACAGTATATTTGGTAGAATACAAAAACGTTGAAAGTCTAGATGATCAGTAAATTTCGCCTCGATCTAATATTAAGTGAAATCCAATGACTCAAAATTATGTAGCATTATGTTGGATCAATTAGGTGATTCGGATTTCAGAAGCTAACATAGATTTTTAGCTTTCTGTCTAAATCAACTGAAACTTTTCAGATTTCTACCCCTATAATGTTGATTTAAAAGTTGCTGATATCAGATAATACTGATCGTATTACCGACAGCTTGGTATTTCTCATCTGTGATTTAGTTTACCCATGATATACTAGGTTGATAGATGAGTTTTAAAAATAATAAACTATAGTTACTCCAACCTAACAATTTCTAACTACTACTGACAAACATCAATACATATCAATGAAGTATTTCAATTCATCTAATATAGTATACTAAGTAAATATAGGCAGTCACAACCACTCCAACATCTAGCCTGAACATATTTTTATAAGTTTCGAAAAAGTACAGAAAAAATGAACCAAATAATAATTTACTGTTTAAATTGTCATTATCTAACTAGTAAAATTTATTGATTGTGGTGAGTAAAAATTGAAACCATCTCGAGATCAAAATTATATAACCACATAATGACTGGAAACCTATGATGGAATTAGTTATATATAAACTTAACATAATATTGACAAATAAAATCTAATCATGATAGAGTTGATTGGTCAAGTAAGACAGATAGGTATTTGGGACGTTTCTGGAAAGTATACAATCAAGGTAGAATATTTATTTTCTTTATTTGGTTAGAGAATTATTATTCTTGATGACAGCTTTTATCACAAACAGAAAACAGTCGAGAAAATGAATTAGGTGATAGTCTGTTCTGAGTAAAAGAAAAAGGTTAGTAAGATGGTGGTCGAAAAACTTCGACTGGAAAATATTTTATAAAGATTAGATGAACTAAAGTTCACTGACGGATTCGGTTTTCTATGACCACGTTTCACAGTTAAACACCATATCGTCGACATTTCGTAAGATTGAGGTGTATTTACAAATGATGGATCATTTGGTAGTGACAAATACCGTTTATACTCCGCCTGGAGTCCCTCCGGGGGCTACTGCCCGTCCCAAGCCCAGATAAAGGAGGAGGGTTGGGCATGGGGTTGGCGTGCTCATCCCGTAGAAAACTAACTCGCTAAAAAATCGCTAACCAGAAAAAATTATTCAAACCTTTTAAACCCTGCCCCGGGAGTCAGAAGGTCTTCATTTAGAAGAAAAAAAAAAAATTATGATGAAAGCCGAATTCCTTCGGAAGTTTCGAGGCCGATGCCCCTTCTGACAACCAGAGCGACCATTTATTTAGGTACATGGAATGTTCGTACAATGTGGGACACCGGAGAGCCTTCCAAAGTGCTACAGAAATGAGGAGATACAACCTAGAGGTACTTGGGATCAGTGAAACACATTGGACACAAGTTGGACAACAACGACTAGCTTCAGGAGAGCTTCTGTTATACTCCGGCCATGAAGAAGAAAATGCACCACATACACAAGGAGTTGCATTGATGCTGTCCAAACAAGCACAAAATGCACTTATAGGATGGGAATCTCATGGACCAAGGATCATCAAAGCCTCATTCAAAACAAAGAAAGAGGGCATTTCAATGAACATCATCCAATGCTATGCGCCTACCAACGACTACAATGAAGACGCTAAAGATCAATTCTACAATAGGCTGCAGTCAATCGTCGAGAAGTGCCCAACAAAGGACCTGACCATTCTGTTGGGAGATTTCAACGCCAAGGTTGGAACGGACAACACTGGATATGAAGACATCATGGGACGACACGGACTGGGAGAATGGAACGAAAATGGTGAGAGATTTGCAAATCTATGTGCCTTCAATAAACTGGTCATAGGCGGCACCATATTCCCACATAAACGCATACACAAAACCACATGGACTTCACCGGATCACTCTACACAAAACCAAATCGACCATATTTGCATCAACAAAACGTTCAGGAGGACTATAGAGGACGTGAGAACCAAGAGAGGAGCTGATATAGCATCAGATCATCACTTTCTGGTCGCCAAGATGAAATTGAAACTCAAGAAGCACTGGACAACGGGGCGGACAATATCACAAAAGTTCAATACGGCCTTTCTTCAGGATACTAACAAACTCAACAAATTCAAGATAGTCCTCAGCAACAAGTTCCAGGCCTTTCATGATCTACTCAATGGAGAAGGAACTACTGTGGAGAGCAACTGGAAGGGGATCAAAGAGGCAATCACTTCAACATGTCATGAGGTCCTGGGTCACAAGAAGCACCATCACAAGGAATGGATCACTGTTGATACACTGGATAAGATTCAAGAAAGGAGGAACAAGAAGGCAGCAATCAATACCAGTCGAACAAGAGCAGAAAAAGCCAAGGCACAAGCTGAATACACATAAGTAAACAAACAAGTGAAGAGGAGCATCAGAACCGACAAACGTAAATATGTGGAAGATTTAGCAACGACGGTGGAAAAGGCTGAAAGGAAAGTAACAAGGAGACAACTGTATGACACACAAAGAAGCTCACTAGAAATCGTCGCAAACCAGAACGACCAGTGAAAAGCAAGGAAGGCAAGGTAATCACCAACATTGAAGAACAAAGAAACAGGTGGGTAGAACACTTCAAAGAACTCTTGAATCGACCAGCTCCACTGAACCCACCCAACATCGAAGCAGCACCCACGGACCTCCCAATCAATGTTGGCCCACCAACAATTGAAGAAATCAGCATGGCCATCAGACAAATCAAGAGTGGCAAAGCAGCAGGACCGGACAACATCCAGCAGAGGCACTAAAAGCAGACGTAGCGGCAACTGCAAGGATACTCCACATTCTCTTCAATAAGATTTGGGATGAGGAACAAGTACCAACAGACTGGAAAGAAGGACTTCTGATCAAAATACCGAAGAAAGGCGATCTCAGCAAGTGTGATAACTACAGGGGCATCACTCTTCTCTCAATACCGGGAAAAGTCTTCAACAGGGTATTGTTAAACAGGATGAAGGACTGCGTAGACGCCCAACTTCGTGACCAACAGGCAGGATTCCGTAAGGATAGATCGTGTACAGACCAAATCGCAACTCTACGGATCATTGTGGAACAATCAATTGAATGGAATTCATCACTCTATATCAACTTCATTGACTACGAAAAGGCATTTGATAGCGTGGACAGAACAACACTATGGAAACTTCTTCGACACTACGGCGTGCCTCAGAAGATAGTCAATATCATACAGAATTCATATGATGGATTACACTGCAAAATCGTGCATGGAGGACAGTTGACAAAGTCGTTCGAAGTGAAGACCGGTGTTAGGCAAGGTTGCTTACTCTCACCCTTTCTCTTTCTCCTGGTGATCGACTGGATCATGAAGACGTCAACATCTGAAGGGAAACACGGGATACAGTGGACATCTAGGATGCAGTTGGACGATCTGGACTTCGCAGATGATCTGGTCCTTCTATCCCAAACGTAACAACAAATGCAGGAGAAGACGACCAGTGTTACAGCAGCCTCGGCAGCAGTAGGTCTCAATATACACAAAGGGAAAAGCAGGATTCTCCGATTCAACACAGAATGCACCAATCCAATCGCAATTGACGGAGAAGGTTTGGAAGATGTAAAATCCTTTACGTATTCGGGCAGCATCATTGATGAACAGGGTGGATCTGATGCAGATGTGAAGGCGCAGATCGGCAAAGCAAGAGCAGCATATTTACAATTGAAGAACATCCGGAACTCAAAACAACTGTCAACCAACACCAAGGTCAGGATTTTCAATACAAATGTCAAGAAACCTGGAGAATTACTAAAGCCATCATGCAGGAAATACAGGTGTTTATTAACAGTTGTCTATGCAAAATACTTCAGATCCATTGACCGGACACTATTAGCAACAACGTACTGTGGGAGAGAACAAACCAGATCAGAGTGGAGGAAGAAATCAGGAAGAAGCGCTGGAAGTGGATAGGACACACATTGAGGAAAGCACCCAACAGTGTCACAAGACAAGCCCTCACATGGAATCCTGAAGGTCAAAGGAAAAGAGGAAGACCAAAGAACACATTACGCCGAGAAATGGAGATAGACATGAGAAAAATGAACAAGAATTGGATGGAACTGGAAAAGAAGGCCCAGGACAGAGTGTGTTGGAGAATGCTGGTCGGCGGCCTAAGCTCCATTAGGAGTAACAGGCGTAAGTAAGTAATACCGTTTTTCTCTTGTCTTTCGTGAGATGATCGAATTCTATCGATCAAACTGGACTGTGGTTAAGAGTAGTCTAAGTGACTTGACATTTTCATTTCTATCTATCAGCATTATGAAAGACATTAAATACGAGATATTGTTCACTACACGGTGATCAACTAATTGTGAAATGGTTGTCATTTGGTTTATGTTGAATACTGATGTAATCAGCAAGACCTATCGATAATAACTAGATGCATCTGATCTCCGAGTCAATCTTATCCATATCATGTCATTAGAGTAATCACACTTTATCTTGAATAATGAATTGAAACCAAATGTCGAAAGATTTCACTTGTTAAAGATATTTCATTGGGAATCGATTATCAAGGCATTTCATGTGATGGATGTGAAGTGGATAGATGAATGAAACTCATTGTAATCAACAGTGGTGTGATACTTGAATTATTTGTGAAAGTCAATGTAAGAGGATGGAAGAGAATTACTAAGTATCGAAGACATGTTCTGGTTCAGTTTGGAACCGAATGCATTTGACATGTTGGAACCGAAATTCAAATAGTCATGTACGGATTAGACATTTATTATAATACTACGTCCTATACGGATAAAATTCAGTTCGAAATAACTATCTAATATATATTATTTTAAACAGATTTCAATAAGTCGTCTACATGTAATCATCCGTATGTATCATCTGAGACAATTGAGGATGAAAGCACTGAAATTTATACATAGACAAGTGCATCGAAAACGCGATCATTCTATCATTTTCTTGTTTCAACTACTATGTTGATCGTGTAACATGATTGGTAATCCACGTGTGAATAGATAAAGTGTACGGTGCAATTTGACTGTATTGATAGGTGTGAATAAAGGGAAATGTTTGCGGTGTCTTTTGTTTTCAAATACATTTACCCACCTGTTCTCACAATGCGTGGTCTGTTCCAATGAATTATAAGAGTTTGTAAGTGTGGTTTAGAAGAATACAAATGGTTTCCAACAGATTTCATCTTCCAGTGATGAGGGAGATGAAAGTAGTGAATTTCGTAAACGAGGACTCAATATGATGGCGAGAGTGAACCTAATGTAGCTAACGCCCATTGATTGTGAAAAATGATTTGAAAGAAAAGAATGAATGATTGGTATGAACAAAATCATATTGATTGTTGATGTGAACAGATGATGGATGGAATTCATTGCCAGTTTATGTAACTAATTCAAGATTAATATAGTTTAATTTGATGTGATTCACGAAGAAACAGTAATGGGAAACTGAGTATTAATTTCGAACAAGGAATCTTCATTACCGTGTGGACGTGTAAATTTAAGATATTTATTTAATTCATTTTCGTTGTCACGGTGGGGTACTGTTTGCAAACCTAATAATTTCTTCCCAATCTTGAGCACTTGAACTTTGATCACGAGTGTCACTTTCAGAGTGACTTTTGCCCTCAAGGGATATTTTATCATTTCGAGAAGCTTGCGACTTATGTCCACCTGACATAAACGCATGTCGATCTTCTTGGATGTATCCACCGAGTTTACTACGCTTCCGACCCTCCGAAATATATCCATTCACATCGAACACATCACGTATTTTCTTTCTATCGAAACTGTCTGCCTCACCATAACTTTCGAATGTGGTAGTTCGTTTCTTTTGACCATTGTGATCGTAGCCAGAACGTTTTCTGAATGTGGTTTTCACATGTGATTTACTGCCTCGTCTACGTTTTCCGAGGAATGTTTGGTAACCTCTAGTATAAATATCACTTCTTTTTCGATTTGAGTATTTGAGTTGGAATTTTCGTTGTGAAGATTGGAATCCGAAATCGCCACTTGAACTTGAATGTGAATCTTCATTTTTTTCCCGGGAATGTTTAGTTGTGTTTTCTCTCGTAACCATTTTCCTGCGGTCATTATCTTGTTTTGAGTTTCGAAAGTCATGTATTTCCGATGTGCGATTAACTATTTTTCCTTGACTGTTAACTTTTACCCATAGAAGTGAGTATAGAATAATTGCAAATAACAAACACATGAAATCTGTTCTCATTATAATTAGTTTATAGTGAAAATCATTGAGTTATGTGAATAAATTTATCCTTCATTTCTATAAGTCGTACATTGATATTTACTCATTCGTTTATTTATTGTAGTTCCCTTGTTCGTAAAAACTGATTACAAATTCGTATTTAGTGAACATGTGATGGAATGTGAGCAGTGCATTCTGAGGAATCGATATTCAGTGTATTTTTATTACACTTCACGATGTATTTGAAATTTTCGGAGAATTGAAATATACAGTTTTGCTTAATTTTTATGTACAATAAGTGATTTTAGTAACTCTGTCTGTGTTCTGTTTCATGTTTACTCATTTTATGTTTCATTTCATTGTTGACCATTGATAAATCATGTTTGTACAACGTCGAATCCAAAAGCCGAAGTATGAAATGCTAGGGAATAAATTTAATTCGCAAGTTACGTTATTAGTAGGCATTGACATAAAGAAGCGACAAATAAACACTAAATTTTCGCTCGTTAAAGGCGTTAGGTAACTCAAAATGTTACCACTATGGAGAAAGGGAATGAATAGTGTAATTAGTGTATAGATACACATATACAGAAAATGTATACGTGCAGAATTATAAGCATGTCTATTAAAGGTCACAATAAGCTATGAATAGAACTGGAGGGTATAGTTGACTCAATTGTCATATGGTATCTGATCTATGAAATTCTGTCAAAAGTGTGTAATTAAAAACAGAGCAGTTGATGCACATGGTCAGCGTCTACACTAAATAACGTGAACAATAAAATACATATGAAAGCTGTTTTATGGACGAACTAATAACTACACTACCAAAGTCATCTTTGTAAGATTACTAGAAGTATTCGAATTAATGTGCTTACTAGGAATTCCAAAATATTGCGATTTAAAGCAGTTGGAACCAGATGAACACAAATGAACGTATCATATTTGGGACTCGTGATAAGTGCGTAATCAAGTAAAAAGGAATCGTCAGTTAGTGCAAGTACCACTACCGCAACAGTTTGAAGTGGAATTTAAATTTCTGTAATCAGTCGTACTTCTCCTTAGATTCATTGTATGTCTATCTGACTTTGTACTGGATGTAAAGTCTCTATGATCTAGAGTATACCCATTAGTATTAGAATAACAACCGAAATTGGAACAGACTCACCTGGTTCCGGGGATTGTATTTGACCAACATGTTAGTTGTGAGTACTTAAATCATTGGTATCTAGAATTCGAACCACAGATTTTCCAATATTCTTCACTACAATCCTCTTGGATGATTAAAGATTTTTTCCACCATAATATGTAACTTCTGCAGATTCAAAAAACCTCATATTCAAACAGAAAATCCTTCCTTTTAATGGCTTTGATGGAGTCTTTTTCATTACAGAATGTTAAGCATTTCTATATTGCAGTAGAAATGTGCCCAACCCTCTTCCTTAGTTCATCAGATGTTGAAGGAGCAGTGGAATTAGTAACAGTTTTTAATGTCCTGACGAACATTTTTTCCTGATCATTAGAACAAGGAAGCCTGGTGTTGGGACGGCTTCTGTGAACTATGATGTAGTCTTCAGAAGCCTTGGAAGAGTCGAAGAGTTCCACCCAATCAGAACGTAATGAAGCTTTCTAGAATAACAACGTGGCATGCTACTATTAGTCAGTAACATAACATGCCTCTTTGCGGATCGGTTGAATTATAATATTGATTGAACAGACACTAATATATAAAAAATACCCATGATTTTCTGAACATTTTGATTCTTGCCCAACGAGCACTTTCTTCTCTCTTCTGTTTTCTTATTTGCGCTTGGGAGGGTTCTAGCGTCCGAGTGCTCAGGCCACGCGCGGTATATTAAGAATCTAAGCTTCAGATATAACACATGGAAGCAGTGAACAGATGTCTACGTCCTATACCGTCCAACTAGGTAATGACTGTATCTGCAAGGAAAAGAGAGCCATAATCTGTCACTAATACCATAAGGACAATCTCCCGACTAAAATCCTTCACTAATGCTTGCATTGTAAAGTTTTGAAAAGAGCCTCAGCATCCTTAGAAAGAGAATTAATGGAGAAAATGCTCAAGTTATTTGCTGGGAAATGAACTACAATAGTCTAAATGATTTCTCTGGCGGGTAACAGACGATATTAGCCATGGAGTCCAATTCGAAGGATGATTTTTAGACTTAAAATCCTCCACAATTGTCTGCTCTACGACATATATCTGCATTTATCTCCGGTCACCAATATGTAAACCTTGAAAAGGATTTCATTTTCTCAACGCTAAAATATCCATTATGAAGACCTTCAAGAACAGATTTACATAATAAAGGAGGCATAATAACACGATCATTTAAACAGAAAACACCATCCGGATTGGTGGATAACTCATCCCGCTTTGACAAATAGATGGAAAATCTACGTTTCAGATTAGTATTACAAACTTTTCGAATATCACTAAGTATGCATCTAAAGTGTCACCGAATTTCTCGTATGAGATCTGAATGTGTCGTCGGTAAAGTTTGCAATAATACACCATCTGCAATATTGACAGGTTTATCTTGCAATGAAAGTCAAGAAATGTGGTCAACATGTTGAATTTGTTTGAGACTTCTTGACTTAATCGTATGATTATAGGCACTCAGAGCGATACTTCATCGTTGAACCATAGCAGCTGAGATACGTGCTAAGGAATTTTCAGAATGATAAATGAACTTTAAAGCTTCAAGATTAGTAACAATAGTGAATTTTTTTCAAATAAATTTTTATCAAGTCGTTTAGCAGTTCAAAATTCAGCTCATGCTTCTCACTGAGTTCGTGAATAACCTTGTTCAGCAACTCTAAGTTTTCATGGAACACTAATTACTGATCTACGTTTCTGCTCAAAACCTGCACCAGTACCTATAGGTGATGCATCAGTATTAAGTACAGAATGTGCACTAGGGGAATAATTTAGATTTAGACTTCCACTAGAATTTCGTTTAACTAAACACTTGAAGAATGTTAGTTCACTATGTTAATCTTCCTTTGTGAAAGTGAATTTGATGTTTTCCGAGAATGTGTTTGTGTTTAAAGAAATCTCCAAAAAGGGTCTTTTTAATAATGACAAATGTGTTATGTACATATCTGCGACAGATGCATAGTCTGTTGTTACTGGCAAAAATATGAGACTCCTTTTGTTTGTTTATTGAAAGTCCTTTTGAAAATGAATATTGTTGAATTCAAGCATAGATTGAGCGATTTCACAACTGAACTAATGCTTAATGGACATCTGCTAGATAGAGTATTATCATTCTCTAGTAACCCATTGACGAAGTCTATACATTTATCAATTGGAATACTAGTGCATAAAGCTACAACATCATTGCTTGCCATTGTTTCGTTATCGTATATAGACAAATCAGCTTAATGAAATATTAAGAATTTCAACAGTTGAGATCAATGAGTCAATTGAAGCTAAACCACTATGGAAAACCTGGAAGCACTGGATCGCCGTTTCGTTTTTTTGTGGGACTCCTCAGTAGTGCACATTCACGAACCCGCCTCGAGTGATTCAGTTGATCAATATGCTGATTTCTTCGATTTAACCGTAATCTATGTTACATCTATAGAAATTAATGGTTAAACTAAGTAGACTTTATCGAATGAAAATGTGAAATAAGAGAACAACTGTCAAAACTTTAACAAGGCAAGTGAAATGGAGATTGTCAAATGGCCATTAATTAAATAAAAATTCTTTTTGTATAAATCCATTTGTTCAAAGCAATTGAAACAAATGTAAAACAAATTCTGAGAGAAGTAGTGTAATAGATATATTGAAAATTATTCGATGAGACTATAATTTATGAACGACCTTTCAGTGATGTCGTAATGACCTTAAGAAAATTCAATCATTTATTAGGGTCGAAACAAGGTTATGGATTAGTATGAGGAAATAGGATTAGGATTCAGAGTTGGAGAATGAGGTTATTAATTAGATTTGCGGTTTTCTCCACGAAGTGACATCACCCATAATGATAAAATGCTGTTCAACCATATAGACGATTGAATTTTGCGTAAAAATTCAAGACTTACTACTTTCAATCCTATTGATTCATCCATGAATTGTCTTTTTCGCTGATATTTTTTATTTAAATAAACGTAAAGTAGCTGAAATTTGATGTTTGATTTCGGTTTTTGGTGAAGTGAACTACATACAGATGGTTAGATATTGAGTTAGTTATTTATGGTAGGTGTATTGTACAGGGATTTCATTGAGTTCATTAAAGAAACATCACATTGAAATGCATTCCCATCACTTGATCTTGAGGAGAGATCTCAAACTAGTTTGTGCGCCTATGAATATTTATTAAGAAATAAATCTGCCTATCGTTTCGTCAAAAGAAACGTGATGTAATTTTCTTACATCTGAAAGATTTCTATCATATTTATAACCTATGCGTTGATGGGAATGTTATATTGCTTGGTGGTGAATTGAAAATTGATGTGTCTTAACAGTATATTTGGTAGAATACAAAAACGTTGAAAGTTTAGGTGATCAGTAAATTTCGGCTTGATCTAATATTAAGTGGAATCCAATGGCTCAAAATTATGTAGCATTATGTTGGATCAATTGAATGATTCGGAATTCAGAAGCTAACAGCTATCTGTCTTAATCAACTGAAACGTTTTCAAATTTCTACCCCTATATTGTTGATTTAAAAGTTTCTGATATCAGATAATACTGATCGTATTACCGACAGCTTGGTATTCTCATCCGTGATCTAGTTCACCAATGATATACTAGGTTGGTAGATGAGTTTTAAAAATAATAAACTATAGTTACTCCAACTTAATTTCTAATTACTATTGACAAACATCAATCCATATCAATGAAGTTTGAAAATATGTCTTTCAATTCATCTAATACAATATACTAAGTAAATACAGGCAGTCACAATCACTCCAACATCTAGCCTGAACACATTTTTCTAAGTTTCGAAAAAGTACAGAAAAAATGAACCAAATAATAATTTA